GTCCGAAGCTTGTATAGCGTACAAGCTATTTGCGTTGGGTAGGCAGGATCACTTCCCTGCCAGTTGCTTCCGTGCCAGGTCACTCCTGGCCGGGCCTCATCTGGTGGCTCCAGATATCACCCACAGCACTTGAATCACCCAACGCACTTACAAGAATTCCGCCACGCGAACAAGACCGGAAACTGGCAGTTGCCACAAAATGGTCGAGAAAAAGGCCTTTGATTGAGAAAAGCCGTGCTAGGGATCCTGGAACCCAAGACGGCTGATAGCGTCAGCCCAATTACTCTTGGATGGGATCCACTCAAACATCCAGCATTGGAGACCAAAGAGCTATATATGCACAATTAGTGGCATCCGCTCTAGGTCATCGGCATCCGAGCGGCCTCGGGTTAACGCCATCAAGGCTGCACTGTTGTCCAAAAACCACACACCTCACCTGCTACGGAAGAGGTGGGGACGTGCTGTCAGTGCAAAAATGAACTGGATGAGCTCCAGTTGCGCTCCTGGGGTAAACAAGCTGTACAAAGACCTAGGCATATGAGAAACGAAGGCTTCGCGACATTCATGACCATTGAACCATATGATCAAAAATCCACCTGTACCTTGAAATGGTACTTCTAACGCAGCATCTGACGCAACCACAAACCTTTGAACTGAGGGATGGATCACTTCCATCACCCGTTCAGGACGAAGTTGGAGAACCGTAACTTTCACGGGTGGCAGGTGAGAGATCGCGGGATGTCTCTTGCTGGCGAGCTTTGATGGCTTGAAGGCCACTGCACCGGCTCCTGCCATAAATGGCCTGCTCAAGGAAGTTCATCATACCGTAGATCTTGCTGGCTGTAGAACCGCTGGTCAGGGCATCTCGGATAAAGGATTCCATTTTCTCAAGGAGCCGCTCACGAGGCCAAAAGCGAACCACTGAACGGAACGAAGATCGCGATTGAGACCTAAAAATAGGCCCGTGGCTTCCATTGGCTGACGTTTCTCTGAGGCAAATGGAGTACCAATGAGGGCGTTGAGTTGGTTGAGCGGCTTGGCCCGATCCTTTGGGCGACTTCCAGTCGATGATGTTGGCATCGTCAAAGTACAGCGAGGTCAGACACAGGCAGAGACGTCGACCCAGGGCCTCGGCCAACCTGCTGTACCTGTTGAAACTCGTCACGGCGACGGGCGGCAGCCCAAACAAGAAGGAGTGGTAGATTTGGAAAGCTGGTTGCTGCCAAAGATGGTGCCAGAAAGTCACCACGCGTCCCAACGATTCCTCGTAGGATATTGGGGCGCCGCTGTAGGCATTCGGCCAGTCCTCCCCGCCACTCTCGAAGGAGTCCCACTCCAAGCGAGATGACCCGACCTCGGGAACGCAGGATGCCACTGCTGCAATGTGTTGGGCCGGACGGAACGGACAACAGAGGCTAAGCTTGTTGAAATCGGACGAGCGCTCTGACTGACCACCGGTGTCGCCGGTGTCGCCATTGTCGATGATGCGTTTCTTCCCGCTGGACGATGATGCAACGTGGGATCCATCTGCGCGGCTCACCTTGAAGACGACGAAGAAGTTGTGAATGAGTCATAGGCTCCGTACGGAAGCGCTGAGATCCATCAGCTTCGCTCTGCTCAAGGAGGACTTCGTCATGTAGCCCTGGTTTGAGTTGCTCCATGATGGCGAAATTGTGCGATTGCCATCCGTCAAGCACCTCATCCATGGTAATGGACCTGGCCGGCATGCCACGAATCAACCCATAGGGATAACTGGTATCGGCCCACGACATCAGCATGATCAGGAGGGAGGTCAGTCCTAGGTCCCGATTCGCACTCGACGAATGGATGGAGCTTGCAGGCTGCGCAGCCTATCGGTGACCGAACTCCACCGTCCAATGCCGTTCGGCGCAAAACCAGAGGTCATCATCCAACAGCGGCAACCGCTCGGTCGGCAAAGGTACGTGCCCGAGTTGCAAGGACTGACGGAAGCCGTCCCATTCCATATTCTTGCTAAAGCGCCAACGAGCGCAGGTGTCAAAAGGAAAGGTGTTGACTAAGTCCTCAATCACTGGGAACTGGAAGTTTTCGAATCACTCCACGGGAACAGCTTGCGAAACGCCAAAGTCACACTGTCCTGAGGAAAGAGCTGTGTGGGGGCCAGGGCGTTGACAGACCACTCTCAGCAGCTTGGTGGCCCGCTTTGTGATGGCGCGATGGCTGACAGGAGACAAGTATAGAACACCAACCCACCTACCGCGGTCGCTGGGCATAGGGGGCCTGCGCCGGTGTCACTCACCAGCACACACTGCAGCTCGCCTATAAGCTTGACCAAAGCGTAGTCCGAATGTGAATAACATAGTAGGCCAACCAATCGTCCACAGAGCAGTCCACACCTGGTGTGAACGGCGGTGACCACTTATGGTGGGCAGGCAGCCGATGCCGATGGGCGACCACGCCCACTCGAGATCGTTCTCGGGAATCAGGCGGTGTTAGACCCAAGCCACTGGGGGGAGTCTGCCCACAGCTTCAGTTTCGCATGGCCCGTGCGTGCCGCCCAGTCGGACACTGAGACGGCCTCTTCCTTGCTTGGGTAGATCTTGGCGCCGTCGAGCTTGAAGGGGCCCGTTCGTCGGCTGAGTGCAAATGGTTGCACCTCAACGGCGGCCAACTGCTGATCTCCTCAATGTTGTGGCGAAGGCGTTGATGTTTGGCACGAGCCCCTGCAAAACAACAGGCTGCGTGTGGTATCCCGCCACTCGCCGGACTCCATCATCGCCTTTTTCTTGGGTACAGGGCTCTCGCGGATCGATCCTCCGCCTCATTGAGGCAAGGCGTGGATCCGAGTGGCAAGCTCTGTTGTCGGTTTCCACCCGAGCTTTCTGATGGACAAAGTTGGAAGCCCTGCTGGGTACGTCTTGAACCTCAATGGAGGGGCCTGGTGTAACGGGTATCTCCCGAGCACGGGACTTGGTACTGCAATCCAAGCTGCAAAGAGAAACGTTGCCTCTTGGAGTTGAGCGTGAAGACATTCCTGACAAAGGGGATGAAGCAGATCATGGGATGGGTCAATGAGCCAGTCCACCGTGATGGTTCGCCACGCAAAAGATGAAGGAATGAAGGCCTTATACTCAAGGTAGCGTTCGGTCCTGCCATGAGGTCCACCATGAGTGGAGAGTCAGACGGCCTGTGGACAAACTCCTCAGTGCCCGAGGGGGGGGCCGAAGCCTCCTCAGCGCTCGTGCTGCGGCGCTGGCTCGCACCATGGCTGAAGCTTCGCAAACTCGATCTTTCTTGGTCGCCAACCCACAGCGATGAGCTGCAAGCGCAAAGGGGCTGGCCATTCCTCATGAACTTGGTCAGCAACTTGTTGTTGATGGAGGCCGGCATCGAGGATATCCCTGCTGTTGCAGCGGAAGCGCGAGTGGCTCTCGCAGACTCCCTCGTAACTGGCTAAACTGAAATGCTCGCTGCACTTGCTCAGCCGAGGTTTTGCCCTGCCACTCGGCGTCCATGTCTTTGGACTTGACAGCTTCTTTGGCTTCAGCAATCTCGGAGGGGGTGATCACATCCCGCATGGACGCGGGGTCAGGGATGGGCGTACGATCGGCCTAAGGGGTCAAAACCGACCAACTGCCCAACTGTCGGGCCCAAGCGTCGCCAGCTGTAGGACGTGAGGAAATTTCTCATCTTGGACATGGCCCTGCAAATCTGATGGCAGCAGGCTTGACATTCCGGGAGCGCCCATGGCATTGAACACTATGCCACTCTTGTGCTGCTTCTGCGGGTAGCTCCCTCTTGGCTTTGAGCATTGCAGCTGCCCGTCCAAAACCATTGGCGAACAAGGCCGGCGCGGACCCTCGCTTGGCCTGTTGCTTCCCCTTGGCGCACCACAGTTGCAGGGTACTCATTTGGACAAGCGGACCGGCTCCGATCTCAAGAGCTGCTGGTGTCGCGTCACGCCAACGGCTATCAACCAGGAGGCCAGCAATGCCGTCCATTGGGATTCGAGGATTCCCAGCATCGAGCAATATTGCTTGCTCCAAGAAGGGGAGCATTGGCGGCTCCCCCACGATGGCCTGCATCCTGCGCCTCTGTCCAACTCCAGTCAGCTCTTCTCGGCGTTGAGGATGGTGCTGGGCTCGGCATGGGTCGTCTTCTTCTCACGATGGGTCCTATCTGGGGCTTCATCACGCCTAACTCCAGGAAGGAAGGTGTCCTTGCAACGAACAACATTCCCTGGCTCAAAGGCTCCGCCTGTAAGGGTCACCCCTTCGCGCGGCGACTCAAAGGGCGACGATCAAAAGAAGACCCGGTGTTGGCTGCGTCGTGAAGCAGTGATTGATCCGGAGTTGGCCCTTGCTTCCACCCATTGGACTGCAAGGGATTGGCCACCAGCGCGCACTGCGTCCTCGAAGGACTCACAAAGGCATAGGCCAGATCGTCGCCGAGTTGTAGGCCGTATTGGTCGCGAAGTTGTCGCGCACGCTGCTCCTCAACCCTTTCTGGGCCCCACCCAGGCATAGATCCAGCAGCTTTCGAGCAGACGGACCAGGTGGGACAACAACAGGAGACAGTAGGGAGGAATGAAGGGCTCGTCAATCTCGGTCGATTCGAGGACGGATCTGAGCACGCAGGGCGCTTGAATGAGCTCGGCTTGGCCAGCCCGGGGGCACCCAACGCGCGCCGGCTCCCGCCAGGCACGCACACGCTCCGAACCATGTGCAGCCCCAGAAGTTCGAACTTCGCTCGGACGAGCATGGTAGGCATCCCTCTGAACCGGTTTGGACAGCCCGGCGTACCCAGTCCCCAACCATGGAAAGCGAAACCCCGAATCTGCAAAACTTGGAGTAACTCCAGAGGGGGATCCAACATGAAAGATCTCCACGACCGAAGCCCACAACAGCACCAAGGCCGCACCGCGCCTGCCCGAGTCGAGCAAGGACTGGACGCGCGCCGAGAAATCCAGCCACGCGGCAGGCGTGGGGACCTGAAGATCAGTGAAGACAGCGATCCCCCTCGCGTACCCGCTCTGGCATCTAGGCTCACCGCAGGTCACTCCTGGGGATTTTTAAGAACCAGACAGCAAAATGGTGTCAGGTTTCCTAATCACTCTCAAGAATGACCACTGTCCACCCTAGGCCTGCCAAACCTGAGACAGTAATATAACAATATAATATAGATTTATGTAATATAGTATGATACAATATAATATAATATAATACAACATAGCATAACATAAATATATATATATATAATATCATATTGATGAATTCTGAATATTTCACGAAGTGTTCCAGGTTCAAAACACGTCAAACGACTCACGGCCAAAGATGTGCCTACGGCGGTCTCTTCCTTCTCCTCGGCGGTCTCTTCCTCCTGCTCGGCGGAAGCTCCACAAGTACCACAGGTCCAATCCACTTCGTCAGCACAACTCGAGCAATCGCAAAAGTCATCGTTCCTGAGTTTTTCAATGTATCTCTCTCAGAAGAAAATTTCCCAAGCAATCGTTTTTTGTCTATGCTCCGCCATTGGGGGCTGTGTTTCCAAGTGGTTGTGTTTCACGTTCTTTTACCCAGAAAAGAAATTCTTAATGCTCAATGTGTGGGTCTATGAACCGGCACAAAGCCGATCACACCCTATATGGCATGGAATTTAAAGAGGAGACCCGACCCTCAACCACTGGGTCTGGGCCTATTTTTCTTCTTGCAGGAGGTCGTACTGGGAGGTCTCCCTATTTTTGGACCCCCATACAAAGAACTTGGTGCATCAGCTGTCAGTTTTGTACTGCCTGTCTTCGGCTACTTCTCTTCGCTGCAAGTTAAAAAATGATCCCAAAACAAAACCTCGCTTCAGGCTCGTAGGAGCACTAGTAGTAGTAGTAGTAGTAGTAGTAGTCGTCGTCGTCGTCGTCGTCGTCGTCGTCATAGTCGTAGTCGCGTGGTACCATCGCGGTACTGTTTAGCAGTAGCAACAACAAATCCGTCACACAATTTACTGTATATTCTCAAGACTTTCAAGGTTCTTTTTGCTTTCGTCAGTCTGTTTTGCGCGCCTTTCTTCGCCAAGGGGCACGTATTGAATTGGTATTTCACACCCATCTGGGCAACCTCGGAAGGAAAGGATTTCTGCCACTGGCCTCATGATGAAACCCGATAGCACAGATCTACAAAAATGTATCTTCCAGAGGGTGATGAATGAAACTCCATTGAGGAACAAGCCCCTTTCTTCAAGCAGAAAAGCTCTAATTGGATGAAAAATTGCCCAAAGCAAACACACACACACACACACTTATAGATATGCATACGGAACTGACAGCGGTGCCACGCCGGCCTAAGTTCTTAAAAGGCCTGAGGTGCCAGGAAAAATAGTAGGTTAAAGGCCATCGCTTTTGGGTTAGAGGCCAACGCAAGGCTGTTGGGGGGCCAAGACCTAAGGTTGGAGGCCATCGCTAGTAGGTGGTGGACCATAGGCACAAAGTGACAGCAAGAAGCAACCTAGAGAGGTTGAACAGCCCCATAGCCCATCCCATATGTACCACTACAGGGTCCTATAAAGTCTCTCAACCTCTCCTGGAAAGTTGGAGGTCGTCGCTAGTAGGTTGGAGGCCAGGGTACCAAGTTGGAGGCCAGTGCTACCAGGTTACAAG